GACCTGTTGTCTTCGCTTACTGGTATTTCCTGCTCCTTCCCCAGATTTGGGAAGTTCTCAGCTATTATTTCCTCGAAGAGGCTCTCTGTTCCTCTTTCCCTCTCTTCTCCCTCAGGAATACCTATAATTCTTATGTTACATTTCCTAATAGAGTCAGATATTTCTCGGAGACTTTCTGCATTTCTTTTTGTCTTACTTCTCTCTCCTCCTCCATCTGGAGCATATGTATATTCCTATCCTCTATAATGCTAATTCTTTCCTCCATATTGTCATCTCTGTTCTTTAAAGATTCCAGATTCTCCTCCATTGTGTTCTTCATCTCTATCAGTACTGATTGGTTTTTCTTTATGATTTCAATCTCTTGTGAAGAAACTCCTAATCTCATTGAATTGTTTGTCTTTGTTGTCTCATATTTCATTGAGTTTTTTTATGGTAGCTATTTTGAAATCTCTGTCATTTAGGTTATGGCTTTCTGTGTCTTCAGGGTTGGTTTCTGGGTGCTTGTCCTTTTCCTTCTGGTCTGATGATTTCATGTACCTTCACATTGTGGTTCCTGTATTTGCTTTGTTTTTCCTCATCCTGGAAATATCTGGTTGCAGTTTCCACCCGCCACCACCATGTGTGGGGTAAGGGCTGTGTAATCTGAGCCCCCTGCGCTCTGCCCTTGCTGCTCGCATTGATCGGCCAGCTGCTCGGTCTGGTCTGGTCACCTGAGCTTCAGTGTCGGGCATGCAGGGAGCAGGGGGGGCTCTCGCTTTTTGCCTGCTGGGTCCTTGGCGTGGGGGCCTTCTTCCCCGCCCCTCGTTATCCACTCTCCTGGGGTGCTCAGATGTTGATGGCACCCCTGCAGTAGTTCTGAGTCCTCTGTGTGGGAGTCTCCCACTGGCTGAGAGAGCCCGAAGAGCTATGGTTTCCCCTCAGAGGGCTGCCCCTCCCCCTCTCTGGGAGCTGCACGGACCCGGATCTCTGATCTGATGGGGAGGGAGAGGATTTCCCCTTAACTCTCCCCACTTCCTCCAGGGCTCCCAGCACGTCCTCTCTCAGATGTGCAGTAGTGTGGATCTTTCCAATCTTCCTTTTTGCTGTCTAGGAGTCCGTTGTTGCTCTGTGACTGTTCCTTTTGTTGTATCTTATCAGGGGAAGAGTTGATGAGCAAGCTCACTCTGCCATGACGCTGACATCACTTCACCTCTGTTTTTTAAGGATTCCAGATTTTTCTTTATCTCATTCAGTGTGTTCTTCATCTCTAGCTTTTTTTTTTTTTTTTTTTTAATAGTTTCAGTCTCTTGTGGAGAATTCCCTCTTTTCATTAATTTCGTTTCTGGGTTCATTGTACTGTCTAAGTTTTCTTGTAACTCGTTGAGTTTCTTTATGGTAACTATTTTGAATTCTCTATCATTTAGATTGTAAATATCTGTGACTTCAGGATTGATTTCTGGATACTTGTTTTCCTTCCAGTCTGGCCTGTTCATATACTTCCTCATGCTACTTGATGGGGTGAACTTTTGCCATCGCATAGTGGTAGTAGCTGGTTGCAGATTCCACTTGCTACCACTGGAGGGGGCAGGAGCTGTGTTTTCTGAATTTGCTGCAACCCCTGGCAGCTGTGCCTGTCTGTTGGAAGCTCTGCTGACGCAACCCGTCTGTATCTGCTCACCAGCTGCCGCTGCCTTACACACATAGGCGTAGGTGCTCTGGCAGGGCTCCCCTGCTCTGGCTGACCGGCTGAGCTGGTGCACCAGGCAGGAGCAGGGGAGTGGCACTTGCTTTGGTGTGCACGATCCTGTGCACTCCTGTTCTCCACCCACTATCTGGTGCCCTGGCTGCTTGACTTGGTGGGGACACCCCTGCGATTGCTTAGGCACCTTGGTGTGGAGGGTTCCTGAGGGCTGGGAGGCAACTTCGAGAGCAGAAGTGTTCCCACGGAGGGCTGCCTTTTTCCTCTTTTCTTCTCAGTCACGCGCTGGCTGCCGCGTGAGGTTCCATACCCTAGACCACTGCCGCTGGGGGGGAGAGGAGATCCGCTTACTTCCTTCCTCTGCCTCCCGGGGGGATCCAGCATCCTCACCTTCAGACATATGGCTACATGGATCTCTCAGATGTCTGTTATGTTGTGTGAATGTCCTCTGTTGGTTTATGAATGTCCTTTTCATTGTTTCTTAAGGAGCAAGACTAAGGGAAGAGCTTACTCCACCGTGATGCTAAGTAACATCACTCTTCTAGAATCTTTAATATATGTTTTTTAAAGTTAACATGTACAATTAACTATTTTAAACTGAACTTTTTTAATAGTAAGAACTAACTCTCCCTCTTAACCCATTCACTCAAGTCTCCTTTCCTAAAAGAAAACCACTGTTATCAGTTTTTTGGATGTTCAAAAAGTTTTTTGAATATGCAAGTATATAATATACCCATTCTCTACATTTTTTTTTTTTTTTGGTCGGGAAGATTAGCCCTGAGCTAACATCCGTTGCCAATCCTTCTCTTTTTGCTGAGGAAGATTGGCCCTGGGCCAGCATCTGTGCCCATCCTCCTCTACTTTACATGGGATGCCGCCACAGCATGGCTTGACAAGGGGTGCATCGGTCCCCTCCTGGGATCCGAACCCACGAACCCTGGGCCACTGAAGCGGAGCGTGCGAACTTAACCCCTATACCACCGGGCGGCCCCACCCTTTCTCTACTTTTAAAAACTGTCTTGCCTCAGGGGAGGTGTGCTTTATCTGCTGTTGAATACCTTGCTTTGTTCACTGTTTTTCATTGTTCCATTTCAGCACATAGACATCTTACCTCAGTCTCTCTCTTTTTACCTACCATGTATTTCCATTGGATGGATATATAAGGGAAATCTCTTAGATGTTTAGATTTTATATTATCATTTTTTGTAAAGCTTAATTCTCAAAGGATTATAAGCGTACAAGGGAAGTGTGGACTGGCATAGGAGCCCTCAAGGAATCATGTGAGGCTGACTTCTTTAATGGTATGGTTTTCATACTCTTGATCAGGGGAACGCTGTGGTTCTTGTAAGTGTATCTGCATCTCAGCTAGTCATTAAACAAAGTCTCTCTTGAAACTTTTTAATTAAGATGAAATGTTGACTTGAGATGATGTGAATGAGTGGATTCATAACTAATTAAGTGCTCACAAATGATAACCATTGAATAATTTTGTAAAGAGGCCAGTTTCATGAATTGAGATTAGTTTGAAAGCAAAAAGAATTATGTCACATTTTATTTCATATTTTGTTCTTCCATGTCTACAGACAACAAACTTTGGCATCATGTTTAGAAAACTCATGGCTAAAAGCATAGGTCAAACTAATGTTTCTAAAATTCAAAACCAGAAGCTTTTAGATTCATAAGGAATGTTTTTATTTTGAAAAATTAGTATTTTAGGAAAGGTGATTATATTCATTTCATTTAAAATTCTGATGGCGTATGAGAGTATACTGTGAAAACTCCTTCCTGCCTCTGCTCCGTAGTCATTTACTTCTCTTCACCTCTTCCCTAGAGGAACTAATTTTATTAGTTTCTTGTGAGTTCTTCAAGAAGTGTTTTATGCATGTACAATCAGATACACACACACTCCCACTCCCCTTAAAAAAATACACATAGAAATATTCAGTACATTTATTTATTTTCCTTTGTTTCTGTGAAACATATCTTGGTGATATTTTCATATCAATATGGAAAGCATAGCACGAGTATAATAGCATCCTCATTTGTTTTGATGGATGCATATTATTCCATTCCATGGATGTACCATAGTTTTGGGTTTTTTTAAATTAGTACCCTAAAACCAAGACATTAGGTTACTTTTCCTTTTTGCTATGCTACTTCAAATAATTCTGCAATGAATAACCTGTGACATTTCACATGTGAAAATTTATGGGTAGAATAAATTCCTAAAAGAAGAATTGCAGGATCCAAGTGTATCTATGCATTTATAATTTTTAGAGCTATTGCCAAATTTCCGATCTCACAGAGGTCCTACCAAATTACTCTCCCATTACTCCAATTAAGAAAGTCATTAAGAGACTTAACTGCAGTTACACAGTTACCCCGTTACCCCAGTCACCCATTTAGTTACTGTTAGGATATCTCCAGTAAGTGATCATTGCCTGTGACTGAACATTTTCAGTGATTGGCATTCACTACTTTTCAGGATAGCCCATTGCATTTTTGGATAATTTGGTTCTTGGTGCTTCCTTATATGAATTAAAAATATTTTTCAAGCTGCTTTTCATTGGTGGTGTTTTTTCTTTTGGTGCTATTAAAAATGTCTGTCTCTTTTCCAAGGTAATTTTCTTAATATCTGAAAGCAGCTGTCATGTTTTCTCTTCACCATTCTATTATTCATCATTCTTTCAGCTCTTCTAAATAGGATATGGCTAGGAGTCCTTTTACTCTCTTGATTCTCTCACTGTATCGTACTGGTATCCCAGATTATCCATACTCTTTGAAAATCTGCTGTCCACAGTGTGGCATTTCCAAGTATTGTTCCACCAGTGCCGTGTTAAGTAGGGCTGTCATCTCTTCTGCTGTAGTTCCGTTTATGCAGGGTAGATAAGTTCTGTAACTAAATATTCCATTTCCCCAAATGTAATTCTAATGTGCTTTTAGTAGAAACTAATTTCTCAGAAATGCTCTTTGTAGGCATTTCAGTTTTTTGCAGTTGATTTTCTAACTCACTTTAACCATTAGTTAACTGTTTATTCATTATCAAAAAAGCACAATATAATTGAAAGGAACATCTTACCATTAGAAATATGGATATCACTAAATTAAGATTCTTTATTCTAAAATTACCAGGTTCCAAAACCAAAGATTAAATTAATAAAAGGAGAAGCTGGACAAAATCTGCTAGAAATGATGGCGTTTGATCGTCTCAGCCAATCAGGTAATAATAATGTTTAACTGATTTTATTTTAAAAAGGAAAACTTTGGGGCCAGCCCGGTGGTGCAAGCGGTTAAGTGCGCATGCTCCGCTGCGGTGGCCCGGGGTTCACCAGTTCGGATCCCGGGCGCGCACTGATGCACTGCTTGGCAAGCCATGCTGTGGCGGCGTCCCATATAAAGTGGAGGAAGATGGGCACGGATGTTAGCCCAGGGCCAATCTTCCTCAGCAAAAAAAGGAGGAGGATTGGCAGATGTTAGCAGAGGGCCGATCTCCTCACAAAAAAAAAAAAAAAAAGGAAAATTTTTCCGTTGGAGCATCAGATGATAATATCTTCTGTCTGTCCAGGAGATAATTTGTTATAATCATTTGTTTATCTTTGCTGTATTGGACTAGGGCAAGAGATATAGAAAGAATTAGAACAAATGGTATATTCTTTAAAAGGAACAGATATTTCTTATTGTTTGCTCCCAACTGGAAAAACTCCTTAACCACTCCTTTGTCTAGCTGCTAGAGCCTCCATCCTAAATATTTTAAAGCACCTTCTGAACTAATAATAAGTACTGATTTTCCAACCATTTAACATCAATTGATTGTAAGACACTGCTGTGGGGGTGAGGGGGGAATAAAGATGAAGAAGATACAGATTTATTTCATAAGGAACTGACAACATAGTGAGGGAGATGGAAGATAAATACTCACATTCTGTTAGGCTCTTGGAATTTGTAGATCTCTTCCTGTTTGAGATGGATCCTGAAGGTCTATTATATATTATCTGGTTTTGCGAAGGCAAAAACTTCAAGGTGTTCACGTAGCCGGTGAATCAAGCAATGAACTGAAGAAGCCTAATGCTTTCTCTAGGAAAAGTTTCCGTAGGAAGCAGTTTTGATTATAATATTGAATGAACCTTGTAAAGAACCAGAAGGTAGTATTAAATCAAAGTTACCGTAAGTTTTGGTCTCTAGTTAGGTTATTGGTCAAAGCTTTTTTTTTTTTTTTTTTTTTTTTAAAGATTTTATTTATTCAGTTTTTCCCCCCAAAGCCCCAGTAGACAGTTGTATGTCATAGGTTCACATCCTTCCAGTTGCTATACGTGGGACTCGGCCTCGCGTTGGACGGAGAAGTGGTGCCCCGGGGCGCTCCCGGGATCCGAACCCGGGCCGCCAGCATCAGAGCGCGCGCACTTAACCGCCAAGCCATGGAGCCGGCCCTTGGTCAAAGCTTATATTGCTCCGCTGTCCCACAGCCTACTTTTCTGTGGGAGGTAGACTTTCAGTCCTTGAAGAAATGACTTTCCATTTTTTTTCTTATGTTTCCCTTCTACCTTTGCAGGGCTGTCATAGATGCCTTTGCAGGGTGTCACAGTTAGTAAAAAGAACTGAGTTTTAATGTCTTTGATCTGGGCATTCTTGAGCTTGTCTCTGCAAATTTTGCCTCTGCAGTGTGTCACAGTTAGTAAAATGAACTGTGTTTTAATGTCTTTGATCTGGGCATTCTTGAGCTTGTCTCTGCAAATTTTCAGAAAGATAATAGTCTGATGGTAACCAAACCTGACTGACCAGCAGAATTACTCCGAGTGTTTTTTTTTTTTTTAACTGCTTAATTGAGATAAAATTCACCCATTTTAAATGTACAATTTAGTAGTTTTTAATATGTTCGCAGAGTTGTGCAACCATTACCACAATCAATTTTAGATCATTTTCATCACCTCATAAGTCTCATACCTGTTAGCAGTCACACCCCATTTTCCCCGAAGCCCCCTTGTCCTAGGCAACCCCTAACTTTTTGTCTCTTTAGAGTTCCCTATTCTGGATATTTCATATAAATTGAATCATACAATATGTGATCTTTTGTGACTGCCTTCTTAGTGTAGTGTTTTCAAGGTTCCTCCATGTTGTAACATGTACTAGACGTTTATCGAAGAAATGTCTTTAAAATAGATTCCTTAACCCAAACCTGTGAAAATCAGAATGTCTGGGAGTAGGGCCTGGAAATAAATACTTGTAAAGCTTTTTAAAGGATGATTCTGACCAGCCAGGTTTAGAAATCAGTGTATCAGATCAGAGAATTTGAGGTTGGTCCTGCTGTCCTGTGGCCATTTAAATCTCCCACTTTTCCATCTGAAATGTAAATACTTTTGGCATTTTTCACATATGTTCCTGTCTTTTTTCTTTCCTTTTACTCTAGCATGTAGACGCAGATATTAAACCTGTAATCTATATTCATTTTTTGCGTAAGCACCCATTTTGTTGTCCAGTTGTGGTTGTTGGGTTGGAGGGTTAGGTCATAGATAATCATGTTATTTCCCCTTAAGGTGTATGAATGAAACTATTGAGATATGTGAGTAAAAACTATCTGTATTTTTTAAATGATGGAAATAATTTGTTTTTCAGGGCACATGCTGCTAAACCTAAGTCGTGACAAGCAAGATTTTTTAAAAGAGGTTGTAGAATCCTTTGCGAATAAAAGTGGGCAGTCTGCTTTATATGATGCTCTGTTTTCTAGTCAGTCACCTAAGGATAGCTCTTTCCTTGGTAGTGATGATATTGGAAACATTGATGTACAAGCACCAGAGCCAGATGATTTGGCTAGATATGATGTCGGTAAGTTGTGTCTTTCAAAGGAAACATGTTGCATCTTAATTCTTTTATATTTAGGAGAAAAATAAAAGCAAAAAGGGAGATAAATTGCCTGTAATCTCTTTACCCAGAAATAATGACTTAATGTTTTTCTATACTCCTTTCAGGTGTTTTGGGGAGAAGGAGGTGTGAGGGGTTGGTAGTGGTAGTGGGGGCATATGTTTTTCTTCTGAATAGTTGTTTATACTATACACATGATTTGTCTTCTTTCATGAATTCTCTCCCATTGTATCCGTCACTGTAAATATCACTTTTAATGGCAGTATATAGTCTGTTTTATGAATTAGCCATAATTTGCTTGCCACTTTTTATTGTTGGGCATCCAAGTTCCAGTTTTTTCACTATTAAAAATAATATGATGATGAAAACTTTATATTAAAGTGTCTCCATTTCACCTTTTCCATAGAGTCCGAGAAACAGAATTACTGGGACAAAGTTAATGAATACGTTTTAAGTCTTTTGCAAATTGCCATATTGCCAAAAAGGTTATACCTCTCTGTGCTTCCAGAAGCCCGTAACTTTTTCAGTATTGAAATTCTGAAGAAATTCAGAAGAAGAAACGATCCCTTTACGATCTTAATAGATTAATGTAGTGGCATCCCATTGTTTTAATGACTCTTAAATGACAAAGTAAAAGTTATTGTTTCACGATTTCTTATTGGGTGGCCATTTTTTATTTCACCTCTGTCAGTAGGGTTTTTTTAATTTAGTAGTAAGCCTCTTTTTTAATCTCAGATGGACTTGAAAAAAACTTTCTCCATCATAGTTATTTTTATTAAAATTCCTAGATATAAAGTGTGAATACCTTCAGTAAAACATGAGACTTTGGGCTGGCCCAGTGGCATAGTGGTTAAGTTCGAGCACTCTGCTTCGGCGGCCCAGGGTTCGCGGGTTCAGATCCCGGGTGTGGACCGACGTACTGCTTTGTCAAGCCATGGTGTGGTGGCGTCCCAGGTAAAGTTAGAGGAAGATGGGCACAGATGTTAGCCCAGGGCCAATCTTCTTCAGCAAAAAGAGGAGGATTGGCAACAGATATTAGCTCAGGGATAATCTTCCTAAAAAAACGAGAAAACAAAAAAGATGAGACTTTGCTTATCATAGAATTTCCCCCAGCTCTGTTATAGAAAAACAATTATAAAATTAAGATGCATTTAATGTGAGTCGGTTGTTTATGTTGGCAAACATGATGGCACACAAAAAAATTTCCAAAACCTCAAGCCAGTTTTTTCCCTTCATTTCAGGTGCCATTCGAGCACATAATGGTAGTCTTCAGCACCTTACCTGGCTTGGCTTACAGTGGAATTTGTTGCCTACCCTACCTGCAGTTCGAAAATGGCTAAAACAGCTTTTTCATCATTTGCCCCAGGAAACTTCCAGACTTGAAACAAATGCACCAGAATCAATATGTATTTTAGATCTTGAAGTAAGCAAAGATTTTAACAAATTAAATATTTTGAGTTTTGTTTAATTTTTTTCTTACTTAAATTGATATTTTCTTTAAATAAAATAGGTATTTCTACTTGGAGTAGTATATACGAGCCACTTACAATTAAAGGAGAAATGTAATTCTCACTACAGCTTCTATCAGCCACTATGCTTGCCATTTCCTGTGTGTAAACAGCTTTGTACAGAAAGACAAAAATCTTGGTGGGATGCAGTTTGTAATCTAATTCACAGAAAAGCAATGTAAGTAGTTAAACAAAAATATTCCTTTAACTTTTTACCTAGGTTTTTAATTTAAAATGTATTTAATTTAAAATTTATTGCCTAGGGATTTAGTTCAATTCTCGTGTGAAGATTTAGTTTAATTATCATGTGATGATTAACATACATGTAAATGTTGAACTGTGTGTTTACAAATCAGTTTTATCAAATAAAACTTTTTTAGACCTGGAACCTCAGCAAAATTGCGACTTTTAGTCCAACATGACATAAACACTCTAAGGGGCCAGGAAAAACATGGTCTTCAGCCTGCTCTGCTTGTACATTGGGCAAAATGCCTTCAGAAAACGGTGAGTTCATCAAAGTGTAAGCATTGTTAAGAACATTACCTTACTTTTTAAAAATGAAAGACTTTTCATTAAAAGTCTTTTAATTCTAAAAACAGTAGCAGGGCCGGCCCCGTGGCTTGGCGGTTAAGTGTGCGCGCTCTGCTGCTGGCGGCCCGGGTTCGGATCCCGGGCGCACACCGACGCACCGCTTCTCTGGCCATGCTGGGGCCGCGTCCCACGTGCGGCAACTAGAAGGATGTGCAGCTATGACATACAGCTATCTACTGGGGCTTTGGGGGAAAATAAATAAATAAATAAATAAATAAAAACAGTAGCAGCTTGTTCATATTATGCCAGGTGAAATGTATTTTTTTAATTTTACTGCAAAGTAGTTAATATAGTTAATATATCACTTAGCACAGGGCCTGGCACAATAAATGTTACATAAGTATTAGCTGTTATTATTATTACTTAATAATCAAGTTATGATAATTATTGTCCAGCCTAAGTGTTTTCCATGTTAAGTAGCACAAGCTTTGTAGGTAAGGCCATTGTACATCCTTCTAAACATCTGAGGCCTGTTCTGTGGCAAGATCAGGTTAGCCTTTTGACCAAACTGTGACACTGAGAGGGGCAGATTTCAGCTGTCTAAAAATGGCAACTTTTAAATGATAGATTGGGCTTTCTCATTAAGTGGTATCCTTGAAAGTGTTTACAAGTTGGGTCTCAAATGATCACTGGTATTCGGTTCGTTATTCCAATATTTGAAAAGTTGAGCATATGCCTTTTGAGATTCTCTTTGGCCTTGATTTGAAGTTTTAACCAGTTGTTCAGACCATTTGTAAATGAATTTTTGGATCTCATCATTTGTGTTCCTTAGATTGTGTGCTTCTAACTTTCTATTTTAGGGCAGCGGTCTTAATTCTTTTTATGATCAACGGGAATACATTGGCAGAAGTGTTCATTATTGGAGGAAGGTTTTGCCCTTGTTGAAGACAATCAAAAAGAAGGGCAGTATTCCTGAACCTACTGACCCTCTGTTTAAACATTTTCATAGTGCAGATATTCAGGTAATGGAGGATCCCTTTGTGAATTAATTTGTATTGTGGATTTCTAGTTTATAAACAAAGAAATGGAGGTATTAAATGCATAAAGTAATTGCCTGCCTGTTTAAGTTTTCTAAATCCACTAGCGGTCACATATAAAATACGGGCAAAAAGAGTACTGAGATGTTAATCTCATTAGATCGTACAGAATCTTTGGGAAATCATTTGGGTTTGATATTCTGGGTAGAGGCAGTTTGATTAAAAATTACTAAATGTTTTTAGGCATCTGAAATTGGTGAATATGAAGAAGAAGCACACATCACGTTCGCTATATTGGATGCAGTTAATGGAAATATAGAAGATGCTATGACTGCTTTTGAATCTATAAAAAATGTTGTTTCTTATTGGAATCTTGCACTGGTAAGTAGATGTGGTGCTTGAATTAAAAGTTTTTTGTTTTAAAAACCTTATTGTTTCATAAAAGCACTCTTTATATAGATTTTTCACAGAAAAGCAGAAGACATTGAAAATGATGCCCTTTCTCCTGAAGAACAAGAAGAATGCAAAAATTATCTGAGAAAGACCAGGGACTACCTAATAAAGATTTTAGATGACAGTGATTCAAATCTTTCAGTGGTCAAGAAAGTAAGTTGCAGGTTGTTTGTACTTTCTTAGTATTGGTAACTGGGTGATAAGTATTTTTGCCTTGGTTTTATATTTTGGTCATTTCAAAAATGCTCAGTAATACCCTTTTGTTAATGCAGAGGAGTATGTGTGTAAATATTTAATTAGCATTGCTTTGTCTTAGGTTTGGTGTTTCTTTTTTAAGCTTGGGAATCTAGGTTTATCTTTGCACAAAAATACTTGTTGGGGAATTAGAAAAGATTTCTAAGGCAGGACATTTATTATTGTTATTTTGGCAATGTAGTCAAAGCAAATATTGCAACCTAAGGACTAGGTCGTAATGAATTTGGCAGTTGAACATTTTACTGAAGTCGAACATAGTTGCTGACAACTTTAGAGCATTTCTTCTCATCTTCATCATCTGCTGTGGACTGTTATTTTTCTTACTGTCAGCAGTTTGAGACTGTCATGATGGTGTTAACTTCAGTTATATTCAACCTTGCAAGTATTTTGTTCATTAATTGTGTTACTCCTCTTAGATTAGGATTTATGTTGTCTAGTGCATTCTAGCCTCTGCATTTCTCTCGCTATTCAGAATCAGTTAGTAAACACTAGTAATTTATTTTGTTCACATGGAAAAACTTCCCAAATTAGCATTCCTCTACCATTATTATGGCTAACAGAAGGAATAGAAACAACATAGGCTTTAGATTCAGAAGACTTTAGATTACACAGCCGTTTATGTGTGTTATTTATATGTAAAGCATAAAGTGCTTGTTATATGAAAGTGAGAAAAATGTAAATAAATTAGTAAGATAAAATTTTTGTATTTATTTCAGAGTTCTTACTTTGATGTTTTTGCCCTTGATTCATGCCTTTTGTTTTTAGTTGCCTGTGCCCTTGGAGTCTGTAAAAGAAATGTTTAATTCAGTCATGCAGGAACTTGATGACTATAGTGAAGGAGGTCTTCTTTATAAAAATGGTTCTTTGCGAACTGCAGATTCAGAAATAAAATATTCTACACCATCTGCCACCAGATATTCTCTATCACCAAGTAAAAGTTACAAGGTAAGTGGGAAAGAATTGAATGATTCCGTTGTGGAATATGTTTCTGTTCTAAATGTTTTAAGTAATGTTTTGTTGTAATTTTTTTAGTATTCTCCCAAAACACCACCACAGTGGGCAGAAGATCAAAATTCTTTACTGAAAATGATCTGCCAACAAGTAGAGGCCATTAAGGTCAGTCACTTCATTTCTCTAAACTGTGCTGTTCTTATTCCGCGATTCCTTCCTTGACCACTCCCTCGCTTTCTAAAGCCCTGTGCCATGCTGCTATAGAATTATACGGTGTTGCACACACCTCCATCTTGACACTTAACGTATTTTACACTTACCATATTGTTGAATTTACTTATGTGTCTCCGTCCTCCACCAGATGTGAATCCTTCAGAGGTACAGACTCTTTTATCCAAAACACAGCATCATTCTGGTCATAGAGGAGGTTCCCAAGTGATTGAGTTAAACTAGTGAAATACACTAATTGTATCTTGGCCTGTGAGTTCATTTCTCAGACTGACTGTGGTTGTTTGTGTCAGCTTTATAGTTAGGAATTGACATGTGGTCTAAGCTTCAAAAAGTCTCTTTTATCTTTTTAGTATTTTCATATGAATTTGATTTAGTTACATATGGAAATAGTTATGTGTGCATGATTTTATTTTAACTGTATGAAAGTGACTTTAACTATGAGGCTCAAAGTTTGGAATTGGAAGTACAAGTAAGTTGTTTCATACTCAATGGGCAAGAACTAAATCACTCATACTTGTAAAAGTTACACCAAGGAAATCCTGATATGTGTGTGATTATTACAGTGCTATCAGCAATGTGTGAGAGTTAAAATATGCTGTTCAGAGGGGAGCAAACTTTTGAATTTGCACAAAGGTTTTGTATGTTAATTTTGTGTAATCATGGCCTATTATGATATTATCTGTAATCTTGACTTACATATAGGTTTCAGGCACCCAACATTGTATCCTGCAGAAGTGTAGTGGAGCACTAGGCCATATGCCTGCCACTAACTAATGATCTTGGGCCAGGCACTTCCTTCCTTTCTGACTTTTGGCTTCTCATCTGTAAAGTGATAATTATTGATGCCAGTTCTCGTCACATTTTCTAGTTATTTGAATTTTCAAAATTATGATTGTGGCATTAATGGCATGGTCAAAACTATGGTCTAGATACCAGTAGTGACCAGTAGAGTTTTCCAGTTGATTCTACCAGTTTCTTATTTTTGGATGTGCAGTATCTGGACTAGACACAGTAGATGGATGAATGGGGAAAAATTCATTTAGCTTGAAAATTGGAGATATTTTTGACCTCAGTAGTTACGGCTTTTGGGAAATTTCTATTTGAAAAAACTTCTATAAGAAGAAGGCAGACATGCTGGATCTGTCTCTGAACTCACTTACAATAACTGGTCAGATACCTGGGCCCATATAGATATTTAATACTGTTTTCAAAAGTGACCTGTTGTCTGATACCACTGTAGTTTCTTTGGAAAAAGAAATCATTTCTTACTAAGTGCCGGTTTTGTAAGGGACATTTTCTAGGTTCTGGGGTTGGGGAGGGTGTTATCATTTAGTTATCTGTAAAATGACAGAGATCTGATAGCTAGCCACAAAGCTACCATTAGAAAGCAGGAGTCTCCCATTTTGTCTAGGCACCAGAGTGGTGTTAGGAAAACATTTTTGGAGTAAGATATGGTTTGAATTCTAGCTGTGCCATTTCCTGCGTCTTTTTTTCTCATTTTAAGATGTGAGTTAATATTGCTCATCTAACCTGTAAGGATTAAGAACTTAAGTAAAGTGCCTGGAATATATTATTATATACATAATATATTCTGACCAAAAATTAGTTGTTTTCCTTTTCCTAGTGGAGCATTTGAGTATCACCTTGAAGGATTAGTAGTGTTTTGTCACATCAAATGTGGATAAGTGGAAAGCTAGTATTGGGAGGTAATTTGGAGTGTTGAGTATCTAGATGGACTGAAGAGTACAGCAGTGTAGAAAGGAGATGCTGAAAGGATGTTTGGGGTAATACTGCTGAGGACTGTGAATGTCAGAGAAAGAAGTGTAATTTGTAGGTTCTTGTTTTTTTGAGCAGGGAAGTGTGTTGGCTAGAGTTAAACTTAAGAAAGATTAATTTAGGCAAGTGTAGACTGTTTAGGAGATGATTCTGTTGTTTAGATTAGAGCTAACTCCAACTCTAACCCAGAGTGAGTGAATTAGATAATGGTATTAAGGGATGGAAGAATGGGAGCAAATAAGTTTTAACAAATTAAGGATCATGTTCTTAAATCTGCACCTGGTACTCAGATCTTATTGGAATATAGACTGTCTTAGAAATCATCAAGTATTTAAGTTTAAAATAATTTAAGTTTACTCTAGCACTATTTCTGGCATGATGTAATTACTTAAAACTGTTTTCTTTCTTCTTCCGACAGAAAGAAATGCAGGAGTTGAAACTAAATAGCAGTAACTCAGGGTCTCCTCATCGTTGGCCTACAGAGAATTATGGACCAGATTCAGTGCCTGATGGGTATCAAGGATCACAGACTTTTCATGGGGCTCCACTAACAGGTGAGTTGGCAACTGGATAATTCCAGATTTTAGCAATAATCACTGTACTTCCCTCTCCTTTAAACAGATAACTTGTGAAATCACTTTGTCTATGTACATTTGTTTATATACATGTCTATATATGTCTGCTTATATGTTGCTTAAGCTGTAACCCCAAGTAGAAATAGAACAAGCTTTTATCTGATCCTGTGTGTATAAAGGCTTAAAGACACTTTTAATGCACATCTCAGAGGAGATGTGGTAGAGACTGAGGTGGAACTATTCCTTATAATTGAAAAATGTTAACTGTTATCATTATGCATAAAGAGAAGTCTAATCAAGAGCTAAAACTTCTCAGGAATTATTTTGACAATAGACTGAGAAGTTGAGATATGACATTCATGGGGAATCTTGTCTATTTTGAAATACCCTGGTCATACATAGAAGGAAGGAGTTTGAAGCCAGACCATACTGGATTTTGAAGTTGTGCTCTTATCACATACTGACCTCTCTCAGCTAGTTTTTCTGTTTGAAATGTGGAGACAATATTTGCCTCACATGATTATTATGAGCATTTGTGTATGTGTGGGTGTCTCTTAGGCACTTAACTTTCGGTAAACACTTAACGAACCAAGGAGTGCTAATAGTGCTTCCTGTGGGTTGTCTGTGTGCTAAAATGCTTTGTGTATGTAATTTTATTTAATCACAGTAACCCAGAGTGGTAGGTGCCATTATTAATCCCAATTTTATAGATGAGGACATGGTTTTAGAAAGATTAGGTAACTTATCCATTATTATACAGCTAGTTATTGATAAAACTGGGGTTCAAACTCTGATGGCCTAACTTTAAAGCTGCTTGCCATATGAGTCCTTGCCCTTAGGCAGCCAGAAATGGATGATAAAAATAGGTCTCTTTTACCTGAGACAGATTCCCAAAATAGTACTAGGGCATTTTCTTCTAATTGATTTTAACCCAGGAAAGATTTAGAATGGTGTGGGCTCATTTAGATAAGTACATTTGTGTGATGGTTCATAGGGGCACACTTAAGGCAGCCCGACTATTGTTTTGTGACAGTGTTTTCTAAATGCAGGCAAAATAATAGAAAGAAAATCTTTGTAAAGTCAAACTTACTAAATGTCATAAGTCATAGATAACAAATGAGATGTCACGAGTTCAAAGACTGCTCACTTAAAACCCCTGTGCACTATATAGAGCCTTGTAGAGAGAAGATAAGTAAACTGGCTAGCCTTTTCTAGGGCTTTTTGAGTGCTGTGCACCTTTGAGTGCAATTGGTACCTTTTGGGTCACAATTTCCAATTCTTCTTTTGTGTGCAGGCATAAAAGGTCTTCTGGTGTTACAAACATAAGCATAACATTCACATTGTCTCATTTTATTCTTATTCTTGAAATTACCCCCATGAAATGTATAGAAGCAGCACATCCTCATTTTACAATTGAGAAAAATAGAGACCTCAAACCGGCCAATTGACAAGGTCACAAAGCAGCTTTGTGGCCCAGAAAGAAGGAGAACTCAAGTCTCCTGATTCTCATTCCCGTGTTCACAGATTTTGTTTTTTTTTAATGAAAGTAAAAATATACCAAAATAGTCCCTGTGTTTTCAAAATAAGATAATTTAAAAACGATTAATAAGTTTATAGGAAATATTCAGAAGTACTGAACAGTGTAAATAAAACTAAAAACTAAGCATATCACATACAGTTCAATTAATATTTTGGAGTATTTCCTTCTGGTCCTTTCTCTGTATACATAAAGAATTTTTTTTTATTTGAGGAAGATCCGTTTTTTTTTTTTTTTTTTTTGGTGAGGAAGATGGGCCCTGAGCTAACATCTGCCAGTCTTCCTCTTTTTTGCTGAGGAAGACTGGCCCTGGGCTAACATCCATGCCCATCTTCCTCTACTTTATATGGGACACTGCCACAGCATGGCTTGACAAGCGGTGCGTAAGTGTGCACCTGGGATCCAAACCGGCGAACCCAGGGCTGCTGCAGTGGAGCAGGTGCACTTAACTGCTTGCACCACTGGCCTGGCCTGCATAAAGAATTTTTAATGAGATTTTTACCGTATTATCACATTATTTACAGATGAGTAAGCCTGTTTTTTAAATATTTACGTTCTGAGCATTTTTCTATTAAATATTTTTTGAAAATACTATTAATGAATACAAGGTATCCCATCATCTGAAAGTAATGCAAATTTTATTCCTTTATTTTTGTTATTGCTATTATAAATAATGCTGTGGACACATTCCTAGGATTGTAGGGTATTTTAAAAATTCTTTTGTGTTGGGGAATTGCTTTCCAGAAAAGCTGTGCCAGTTTACACTCTTATCACCCGTATCTGATAGTGCCCATCTCTTTGTACTCTTGCCTAGTGTTAACTATTGCTAGTTTGTAAAAACCTTTGCCAATGTTTAAAAACAAAAATAGTATTAGTGATTTTTATTTTTATACTAGGTGTGCTCAGCATTTTATAATCTTTTATATTTCCTGAGTTATTTGTTCATTTGATGTTTTTTTCTATTAGATTATTTGTAGTAGGTTTATAAGAACTCTAATTTTTTTTTTTTTGCTATCAAGAGTGACTAGTCACTGATAAAGTGACTAGTTAAATTTCAGACTTTATGATTCTTGGCTCATACCCATCAACTTGTTCTATGCCTGTTTTCTCCCTAGAATATTTCCAAAATAACCATCTTCATCAAGCAGTTCCATTAGTTTTCCAAATTCAAACTTGGGCTTCTTTAGCATTTTTTACTTTTCTAGTAACTGTATAGAGAAGATAAATAGACTGGCTAGCCTTTTGTAGGTCTTTTTCAGTACTTTCAAGAATCAGTTGTTTAGCACCTCTTGGGTGACAGTTTTCATTTCTTCTCCATGTAAAGGCATAAATGGTCTTTAATTTTGTTTTCTGGTAAAACGTTCATAAACAGATCAAGCAAATGACTGTTGGTAGTTTTGCCATCAACATTGAGTGTCTTCTAGTTGTTGGTTTCCTGGTAACACTAACACAAAACAGATGGAGAAAATGGTGTGGACATCAACATGAGTGTCAGTCATGATGTACCCTTTTTTTTTTTTTAAGCCAAGGAACGTGTTTTGTGTTACTTGTGAGATCCTTTCCATGAATTTGTCAGGTGATTTTTTTGACCCGAACATTCTCAGCTTGAGTTTATAAAATGCAACTTAGTCATTCTGCAGATTTTCAAGGCTCATTTCAGAAACAAGGCCGCGAGGCCGCCAGGTGCTTTTTGGTTCCTTAAATCCTTCCTGCGACTAGTGTATTCCCAGCATTTCTGATATTGAACATGACGGTGCTTTCACATCATACCAGTCTTTCTTAAAAAATGGATCAACCACTTTCCTCTTGGCTCCTTTTTGATGCTTGTTGTGAGGCACTTGTTCTTGTTGACCACTGTGGTGCTGCTCTCTTATTCCTCATATGTCATATTTAGCAGTTTTTCTTTGTCGTTTGATAATCTTCTTTATGGTGTATTTTGATGTAAATTAAGAAAAAAATCTATGTAGTTAAATCTTTCTTTAATTTCTATTGCTTTTGTATTTATAGTTCTTGCCTAGATAGTCTTAACTGTAGTATAGACTTTTTTAACAGTGTTTTCTTTCTTTTTTTTTTGTTTTTGTTTTTTTTTTTTAGTTGCAACTACTGGCCCTTCAGTATATTATAGTCAGTCACCAGCATATAATTCCCAGTATCTTCTCAGACCAGCAGCTAATGTTACTCCCACAAAGGTAACAAAGGAATAATTTATACATTTATAAATATCTCCTTTTTAATTGTTCAGACTTCCTTCAAAGAAATTCAAGGAGTAGTTCAGCGTTAAAACTTTATGTCCCACAAGATATAGATATTTTAAATTTCTCTCCGTATATAGAAGTTATGGTTCTTAGTCATCAAATTTTTATGTTACATTAAGTGTGAACATTTAGAATATTTTTTAAATGGGGGTGGTGGTGGTGGTTGTGGTGGGTCCTTCTTCATTCGGTTTGGGCAGAAATAGGACTAGACTGTCCTTGCTGAACCACCATGTGGTAAGTACTTCCAGGCCTGAAGTGGCTATATTGCTGTCGATTAAGACCCAGTATTACAACAGTAGTTGAATGTGAAGCTTTGAAGACAGAGGGCTTGGGTGCATTTAGACCTTGGCTCTTCTGCTCATTGTGACCTTGGGCAAGTTTCTTAACCTCTCTATGCATTAGCTGCCTCATATGTAAAATGAGGATAATAACGCCTTAATTCATAGGGTTTTTGAGGATATTAAAATGAGATAATATATATAAAGTGCTCAATAAATGTTAGTCTTCATCGTCATCATCGTTATCGTTAACATCATTTGACACATTGTTTAGGAATGAAGAAGATATTTATTCTATGCATTTATTGTAGGAGAATTAGGTTTTTAAGATGCTGTCATTAGTTAAGGCAGTTTTCATTATATGCCAAGAAGGACTATAACTGTAAGTATCTTTGTACTAATATTCTTTTAATGATCTGCTGTATACCCTAATGATATCTGTACCTTACAATATTCCTGATTGTTGTTTGTGAACATTGGTTTGTATCTAGTTATCTGTAGTTTTGTAGACAACCTACAAAAAATTTTAACTTTTTTTTTCTTTTAGGGTCCTGTTTATGGCATGAATAGGCTTCCACCTCAGCAGCACATTTATGGCTATTCGCAACAGATGCACACACCACCAGTGCAAAGCTCATCTGCTTGTATGTTCTCTCAAGAGATATATGGTCCTCAGTTGCGTTTCGAGTCTCCTGCAACAGGAATTCTATCACCCAGGGGTGATGATTACTTTAAATACAGTGTTCAACAGACAAGCACAAATCCACCTTTGCCAGAACCGGGTTATTTCACAAAACCTCCAGTTGCGGCTCATGCTTCAAGATCTGCAGAATCTAAAGTTATAGAATTTGGAAAAACTAATTTTGTTCAGCCTGTACCAGGTGATGGAATAAGGCCATCTTTGACAGCCCCTGCACATACAACACAGCCGACTACTTTTAAATTTAACTCGAATTTCAAATCAAATGATGGTGACTTCACGTTTTCCTCACCACAGGTTGTGACACAGCCCGCTTCTACAACTTACAATAATAGCGAAAGCCTTTTAGGTCTCCTGACTTCAGATAAACCCTTGCAAGGAGATGGCTTCAGTGGACCAAAAGCTGTTCATACCATTGGACCTCGGAGTACATTCAATTTTGGGAGCAAAAATGTGCCTGGAATTTCATTTACTGAAAACATGGGCCCAAGTCAGCAAAAGAATTCTGATTTTTGTCGAAGTGACGATATGTTTACTTTCCATGGTCCAGGGAAATCAGTGTTTGGAACACCTGCTCCAGAGCTGGCCAACAAGAATCATGAAACAGATGGAGGGAGTGCCCATGGTGATGATGATGATGATGGCCCTCACTTTGAGCCTGTGGTACCTCTTCCTGATAAGATTGAAGTGAAAACTGGTGAGGAAGATGAAGAAGAATTCTTTTGCAATCGTGCAAAATTGTTTCGTTTTGATGCAGAATCCAAAGAATGGAAGGAACGTGGAATTGGCAATGTAAAAATACTGAGGCATAAAACATCTGGTAAAATTCGCCTTCTAATGAGACGAGAGCAAGTATTGAAAATCTGTGCAAACCATTACATCAGTCCAGATATGAAACTGACACCAAACACTGGATCAGACAGATCTTTTGTATGGCATGCTCTTGATTATGCAGATGAGTTGCCCAAACCAGAACAACTTGCTATTAGATTCAAAACTCCTGAGGAAGCAGCACTTTTTAAGTGCAAGTTTGAAGAAGCCCAGAGCATTTTAAAAGCCTCAGGCGCAAATGTAGCTACAACAACAAATCAGCTACAACAAATGAGAATTGTAAAAGAACCCACAAGCCATGATAACAAGGATATTTGCAAATCTGATGCTGGAAACATGAATTTTGAATTTCAAGTTGCAAAGAAAGAAGGGTCTTGGTGGCATTGTAACAGCTGCTCATTAAAGAATGCTGCAACTGCTAAAAAATGTGTATCATGCCAAAATCTAAACCCAAGCAATAAAGAACTCCTTGGCCCACCATTAGTTGAAACTGTTTCCGCTCTTAAAACTGGCCCAGAAAACACTCCAGATAGATTTGCATTGACGACTCCAAAGAAAGAAGGTCAATGGGATTGTAGTAGTTGTTTAGTAAGAAATGAACCTACTGTATCTAGATGCATTGCATGCCAGAATACAAAGTCTGCTAACAAAAGTGGATCTTCATTTGTTCAGGAGGCTTCCTTTAAATTTGGCCAGGGAGATCTTCCTAAGTCTGTTAACAGTGATTTCAGATCTGGTTTTTCTATAAAGGAGGGACAGTGGGATTGCAATGTATGCTTGGTACGAAATGAAGGAAGTTCTACAAAATGTGTTGCTTGTCAGAATCCCAGAAAACAGAGTTTACCTACTTCTTCTGTTTCAGCACCTGCTTCTTTTAAGTTTGGTACTTCAGAGATAAATAAACCTCCAAAAAGTGGATTTGAAGACATGTTTGCTAAGAAGGAAGGACAGTGGGATTGCAGTTCATGCTCACTACGAAATGAAGCAAATGCTACGAAATGTGTTGCTTGTCAGAATCCAGGTAAACCGAGTCTGTCTACTTCTGCTGTTCCAACCCCTGCCTCTTTTAAGTTTAGTACTTCAGAGACAAGCAAGGCTGCAAAGAGTGGATTTGAAGGAGTTTTCACCAAGAAGGAAGGACAGTGGGATTGCAGTGTGTGTTGTGTGCAAAACGAAGCAAGCGCTACCAGATGTGTTGCTTGTGCTTGTCAGAATCCAGGTAAACAAAATCAGCCTACTTCTGCCATTTCAGCACCTCTCTCTTCTGATACAAGCAAGGCTGCAAAGAGTGGATTTGAAGGAGTTTTCACGAAGAAGGAAGGACAGTGGGATTGCAGTGTTTGCTGTGTGCAAAATGAAAGTTCTTTCTTAAAATGTGTGGCTTGTGGTGCCTCCAAACCAGCTCATAAACCTGTTGCAGAAACTCCTTCAGCTTTCACATTGGGATCAAAAACTAAGTTAAATGACTCTTGTGGAAGTCACGTGGGAACAGGATTTAAAAGTAACTTTTCAGATAAAGCTTTTAAATTTGGCAGTGCAGAACAAGGATTTAAATTTGGGCATGTGGATCAAGAAAATATACCTTCATTTACATTTCAGGGTTCTTCTAACATAGACTCTAAGTCAACAAAAGAAGGATTTAGTTTTTCTATCCCTGTGCCTGCTGATGGATTTAAATTTGGCATTCAGGAGCCAGGAAATCAAGAGAAGAAGGGTGAAAAGCCCCTTGAAAATGACACGAGTTTTCAGGCTCAGGATGTTAGTAGTCAGAAGAATGATAGTGGTGTGATTTTTGGTCAAACTGGTAGCACTTTTACCTTTGCAGATCTTGCAAAATCAACTTCAGGAGAAGGATTTCAATTTGGCAAAAAAGACCCTAATTTCAAGGGATTTTCAGGTGCTGGAGAAAAATTATTCTCATCACAAAGTGGTAAAATGGCTGATAAAGCTGACACTTCCACTGACCTTGAGAAAGATGATGATGCCTATAAGACTGAGGACAGTGATGATATCCATTTTGAACCAGTAGTTCAAATGCCTGAAAAAGTGGAACTTGTAACAGGAGAAGAAGATGAAAAAGTTCTTTATTCACAGCGGGTAAAATTATTTAGATTTGATGCTGAGATAAGTCAGTGGAAAGAAAGGGGTTTGGGGAACTTAAAAATTCTCAAAAATGAAGTCAATGGCAAACTAAGAATGCTGATGCGAAGAGAACAAGTACTAAAAGTGTGTGCTAATCATTGGATAACAACTACAATGAACCTGAAGCCTCTCTCTGGATCAGATAGAGCATGGATGTGGTTAGCTAGTGATTTTTCTGATGGTGATGCCAAACTAGAGCAGCTGGCAGCAAAATTTAAAACACCAGAGCTGGCTGAAGAATTCAAGCAGAAATTTGAGGAATGCCAGCGACTTTTGTTAGATATACCACTTCAAACTCCCCATAAACTTGTAGATACTGGCAGAGCTGCCAAGTTAATACAGAGAGCTGAAGAAATGAAGAGTGGACTAAAAGATTTCAAAACATTTTTGACAAATGATCAAACAAAAGTCACTGACGAAGAGAGTAAGAGTTCAGGTGTAGGTCTTGCTAGTGCTCCAGACGCAACCACCAAGCCAAGTCTTGAGAACACTGGGCCCACGTTAGAGTGGGATAACTATGATTTAAGGGAAGATGCTTTGGAAGATAGCGTAAGTAGCAGCTCGGTACATGCTTCTCCATTGGCAAGTAGCCCTGTGAGAAAAAATCTCTTCCGCTTTGGTGAGTCAACAACAGGATTTAACTTCAGTTTTAAATCTGCTTTGAGTCCATCTAAATCTCCTGCCAAGTTGAATCAGAGTGGGACCTCAGTTGGCACTGATGAAGAATCTGATGTTACTCAAGAAGAAGAGAGAGATGGACAGTACTTTGAACCCGTTGTACCTTTACCTGATCTAGTTGAAGTATCCAGTGGTGAGGAAAATGAACAAGTTGTTTTCAGTCACAGAGCAAAACTCTATAGGTATGATAAAGATGTTGGTCAGTGGAAAGAAAGAGGCATTGGTGATATAAAGATTTTACAGAATTATGATAATAAGCAAGTTCGAATAGTAATGAGAAGGGACCAGGTGTTAAAACTTTGTGCCAATCACAGAATAACTCCAGACATGACTTTGCAAAATATGAAAGGGACAGAAAGAGTGTGGGTGTGGACTGCATGTGATTTTGCAGACGGAGAAAGAAAAGTAGAACATTTAGCTGTCCGTTTTAAACTACAGGATGTTGCAGACTCATTTAAGAAAATATTTGATGAAGCAAAAATAGCCCAAGAAAAAGATACTTTGATAACACCTCATGTTTCTCGTTCAACCACTCCCAGAGAGTCCCCATGTGGCAAACTAGCGGTAGCTGTATTAGAAGAAACCACAAGAGAGAGGACGGATTTAATTCAGGGTGATGATATAGCAGATGCAACTTCAGAAGTTGGAGAACTGTCTAGCACGTCAGAAACAACAACAAAAGCAGTGGTTTCTCCTCCAAAGTTTGTATTTGGTTCAGAGTCTGTTAAAAGCATTTTTAGTAGTGAAAAATCAAAACCATTTGCATTTGGCAACAGTTCAGCTACTGGATCTTTGTTTGGATTTAGTTTTAATACACCTTTGAAAAATAACAGTAGTGAAACTACCTCAGTAGTCCAGAGTGGATCTGAAAGAAAAGTGGAATCTGATAGTCGTGAGGAGTCAAAGGACTCTGATGCCGAGCAGTCTTCAGAAGGCAAAGTCAAAAGTTTCTTTGCTTCTTTTCCAAAGGAAGAGACCTCAACTAAATACACATTTAAAACACCAGAAAAGGGTAAGTACTTAGTCTTTCAGCAGAATTTTTCTGTCATTTTTTGTTTTCCATTTAATGTTTATTGTGATGCAGACTCTTTGTAGGATACTAATGTTGTAGTAACAGTTGAGTCATAAACGCAGTCTTTTGTGAACAGCCAAAAAATATTTGCACAAATTATTTTTCTCCCTAAATCACTTTACCTGTGAGTGTTCAAACAGCAGCAGAGACTATGTGTGTAAGTTATTGAAGAGATTTCAGTAACTGGAAGATATTTGTATCATGTTGAGGACAGCACAAGAATTCAGTACAGTACTATAAAGTGTAATGACTCATATACTTGAATCATGAGCATTAACTTGAGTCTGGTTTATTTTATAGTATTCATTCTTCAATTATTATTTTCTTGTCACTCAAAAAACATGGTACTGAGATATTCACGTTTTACATAAGATAGTCTTGCCACTATTTATTGAGTGAGCAAAAAATGAAACTACTGGAATAAATGAATATGTAAGACAGCCAAATTGATATAAATTGAGGGGCTTTTTGGCTTTTTATATTTTAAAATCATATTCACTGATTATCAAAATGTTCAAAAATGAAATACTCTTTATTTTCTAGGATTTAATTTTAGCCTTTTTAAATCTAATCCAATGGCTTTTTGGACCAGCACCCCTTCCTCACAGCCTGAGGACAAAGGTATAGAGCTAGCGTTCTCATAGCTACTATGAGATGACATCAGTTTTTTTAGTGGCTGGTAGTCGTTAGCAAAGTAACTATGGCTGTATGAAATTAAGTACTTAACACTACAGTGTGCATGTTCAAGAATGCCAGTTTAAGCAAGCACCTTTTGACTAGTGGTATAATAATACCCTTTAATGCTGTTTTTTAATGTTCTTGGATGTCGTGTTTTGTCACTATTGCATAACATTATTTCGAGGTAGATTCACGTGGTCTTTACCTTTTGCTGCTTTGTACTTCATTATCCTATAATTTTCAGTTCTGTTTAATGAAGACCTATATTTTATCTAACCCATATCTTTAGCCACTAATGTCTGCCAGTATCCAAACGTGATGGCAGCAGCATGTATACAATATGGAACAGAGCGTCTCTTTAGGGCTGTCCTTTTGGACATGGTTTAGAAAAATACCCTGTTTGAAAGTAGACCCCATTTTTACCAGTCACCATTATATACCTGGTATGTTATATATGTAGTATAGATCATTTATTAAAAGTAAGTGTTAGTACTGGAGTGGAATAATAGGAAGTAAGATCTGTTAAAGACTGTCAAGAGCAAAGATAGGGGAATGAAAACTCCGTATTAGTGTCAAATAACTTATCGTGAGCAATTCAACGATGTTATAGGTTGCCAGACAAGTACGATGATAAAATGACAATCCTTGATTTCTGGGGCCTTCAGTTTTAAAATATACCAATCATATTACTAGCCAAAGCAGCTCTTAACCTTTATTTTTAAGGATGCAGTCTTTGAGAAATTATGTGGGAAGTGTGGGCTTTTTTCTGTAAAGGGTATATTCTTGCACATAGACTTTGTGGGCCCTAGGGTAAGAATCCCTGGCCTAAGAGCAAATTTACCATTATTCTACTGCAGAACAAAGAGCCGTATTTTGTTTCAAGTCTGAGAATGTCATAGTCCCAAAGGACCTTAGAGATGAAAACTTTAGATGTGAGGAAAATGAGGCCCAGCGAGGCTGTCTGGTATGCCCAAGTTGTCTTTACCAGTTAACAGCAGAACTGAAACAATCTGTGTCTTTCTAGTGTTCTTTTAGTGTCCCTGGCTAGGAATTGATACCAAGTTTTTGTAATGAAGGAGAGTGCAAGCAGGTTTAACATTGTAAAAGGGCTCTGGTTCTCTAGATCAGGGTCATCCAAAAGAAAATATGAATTTAAATATGTAATTTAAAATTTTCTGGTAGCCATGTTAAAAAATTAAAAAAAAAAAAGGTGAAAAGAGAAACAGATGAAATTAATTTTAATAATCTATTCAGTTTAACCCATTATATCTGAAATACCATTTAAACTTCTAATCAGTATAAAAAATAGTGAGTTATCTTATATTCCTTTTTTTGGTACCAAGTCTTCAAAGTCTAGTGTATATTTTTACACTTGCAGCACATCTTACTTTGGATTAGCCACATATCAAGTGCTTACTTAATAGCCACATGTGGCTAGGCTGCCTTATTGGACAGCACCAGTTGGTACATTAGCATGCTTCATGATTTGCTTACTTGATCAGTTCCGTTAGCGGGGAATTCTTTATAGACCAGAGCAGATTATATGAAGAATTCCTTTTCTCTCCATTTTTTGCCTTGTTGTTGTTGTTGTTGGTTTTTCAGCTATAGAAATTATCTTACAGTGTTACTGTATTACCCATAGGAAAACAGTTTATAAAACTTTAACTATTGTCATGCTTGGAAATACGCAAAACTGGATGTAACTCGAATCACCTGCCATCCTTAGCAGTTGTTAACTTTCCTTGTAGGAGCTAATCAAGGTTGGCTTTGCATTAGTTTCGTATTTCTACTAATCTTTGCTTATGATTTCTTTAATTTTTTCTTTTTGTTGCAAATGCATGGATATTTTGCTAAACTGTTGTTTAGTATGCCAAATATGGTTATCGCAGCACTTTTTAAATACCTTTTTAGATTAAAGCTATTAATAGTAATTTTTTTCAATGATCGGTAAGTAAAAGCAGGATTTTTTTGGTTTTAAATAGATTTTGTGTTCACTAAGGATTTCTGATAGAACATTTAAATCAGGCTACTAATTCTAATTCATGATTCTTATAAAGCTCTGTTCACATCGAAGTGTATGTGTTTTTATCACTATACTATTATTTTAACCTGAAGATAAGTTCTGTGGTTTTTATTTTCAGTTAGAATATTGATGTTAATACGTATTTAACACCTTGTCTTTATCAATTTTTTTGACTTGTGTTATAGCAAAACAGGAGAAAAAACTTGAAGATCTTCCCTCAGATGACGATGTTCTCATTGTATATGAGCTAACCCCAACCCCTGAGCAAAAAGCTCTTGCAAGCAAACTTAAACTTCCTCCAACTTTCTTCTGCTATAAGAATAGACCAGATTATGTTAGTGAAGAAGAAGAGGATGGTAAATCTTTTGTTATTTTAAAAGAATTCTGTTCATGCTAATCTTAGTAATTGAGGGTATGGTTAAATTATTTTAAGCCTGCCTCTTAGAACCCATCACTGCTGTCCTTGCAGGTAGATTTTTATCCTAAATGTATGTGTAAATAGTTACTGAATTTAATGATCCAAAGAAGTGAATTCATTTATTAAGTAAGCATGTTTTGGTTGGCTATCATGAGCAGGGCAGGCATTTTGAGGGAATAGAAAGCAATCATAATTTCCTTGGAGTCTCAGAGGGATGGGAGAGTGATGAGGCAGACAAGGGTCTGATTATGGAAAACTTTGTGTGCTCTCGCAGAGTTTTTAACTTTGAGGGGAGTTAACATGCTCAGAAAAGTTTCAGTGGGACCAACTGGGTAGTGGTGTAGAGGATTGGGTTGTGGGACATGGAGATAGGAAGATGAGCTAAAATGATAGAGCAGCTCAAACAAGAGGAGAGCCTCAATGAAATTTCTAATAGTAGGAAAGACATTAGGGATGTAAAATTGGCAAAACTGAATGCTTTTTGGATGTGGGGAGTAAGGAAAAGTGTGAATTTGGAGATAATTCTTAGATTTCTGGCTAGAAAAACTCCTGAAACTTACTGGAAATTCTTTTATTTAATAAAATCAATTATACTTTAAGATGAGGATTTTGAAACAGCTGTCAAGAAACTTAATGGAAAACTATATCTGGATGATTCAGAAAAATGTAGACCACTAGAAGAAAATCTAACAGGTATGTTAAGTTAAAATTACTAATTATAATGTTTTAAAAAAATCTTATAGGTATTTAAAAGGAATCTCCTAATCTGATTATTTCTGTAATTACCAATTTTACTTATGTAATATGCCCATGGTGATTTAAAATATTTAAAAATAATATGAAGTGAAAAACAGTGTTCTCCTGGTGGTTCTTGTCCTCCGTTAGCATTCACAGATTACATTGAGGAACATTGTTGTAGAGTAGTTGGTTAACTTTCTTTTGCTTGTGTTTTATGGGATTTTCAGATAATGAGAAGGAATGTGTTATTGTTTGGGAAAAGAAACCAACAGTTGAAGAGAAGGCAAAAGCAGATACATTAAAGCTTCCACCTACATTTTTTTGTGGAGTCTGCAGTGACACTGATGAGGACAATGGAAATGGGGAAGACTTTCAGTCAGAGCTTCAGAAAGTTCGGGAAGCTCAAGTAAGAACATCTCCATTGTTTTCCTTCCGGTTAAGTTGCCTTTGTTGATGCAGTAAACTAGAATGTTCTTACCAAATGGTAATAATGGGTTGCGGCTAGCAAATGGATAAGGCATCTACCAATCAGCTATGGCCAGAGAAGGAGGACTTTTGTTCTACATAGAGGCCTGTAACGGTTCACCCCTATACGTATGTTGGATTTTGGGGGCTGAGGGTAGCATGGACTGTGCACATATCCCTAAGAATGTCTACAATACCAAGAATGATGTATTAAGTAGTTCATTTTTCATGCAAGTTAGTTTATTCTAGGGTGGGCAGAATGGATAGGAAATAGCAGCATTTGAAACCTAGTTCCCTTGGCCTATACCTTGCTTTGTCAGTAATTTCATGATTTGATTACTTTCTTAGCTCAAATGTAGTGATCATTTTTTTTTTTTTTTTTTTAAAGATTTTATTTATTTATTTTTTCCCCCCAAAGCCCCAGTAGATAGTTGCGTGTCATAGCTGCACATCCTTCTAGTTGCTGTATGTGGGACGCGGCCTCAGCATGGCCAGAGAAGCAGCGCGTCGGTGCGAGCCCGGGATCCGAACCCGGGTCGCCAGCAGCGGAGCGCGCTCACTTAACCACCAAGCCACGAGGCCGGCCCAGTAGTGATCATTTTAATAGCTATCGACACCTTGGTGTGTTAATTTGTATTCCACAGAAACTAGAAGACAAGGTCCCTGTCTAACAACTGTTTACAATCTAATATTGACATGTATTCAGAATGGTTCCTTGCCCCCTCAAGTAATCTATTTTTTTTTCATTGTTGCAAAGGTGGATAAAATGAAGTAGAGTCCTGGAATTAGTTATGAATGCAGTGGTTTATTTAAAGCATATGTGGCTAGAAAGAGATGTGGTCCAACACATGGCCTGAGTCTGTAAGAAATTTACTGCCTTTCATAGTCTGTCTGACTCTAAGGAGTCCAGCTGGCCTACTTTTTCTAGCTGTCCATCTAGGATTTGCCAGCCGTTTAGTAGGTTTAAACTTATTCTTCAGATAACATTTAGCTAATGGCCATCAGCTGATGTAATGACATTACTTTCTCATTTATAACCAAATAGATTTATTTGTGGAAGTCCTATCTGAAGTTTTTGCATCAGTGGCCTCACTGTTAAATCTAAAGCATGTTTTAAATCAATCAGCATATTCCCCTGACTCACTGGAAGTAAACAATATATAATTTCTGTTAAGCTTTAATTACTGGCTTCTAGGCTTTATCATGCAATTACTCATTCAGCAAATACAGTCTAGTCGTATTAATATACATTTGGATTATGCAAATTGGAATGATTCGACTTAAATATGGCCTTACTCTTTTAAGAGTAAAACTTAAAAATAATTAAACTTATTTATTTAAAATTTATTTTAAAACTGAAAAATAATTTCAATGCTGATGCACAGACTGAATTGTACATCATTTATTCTTTTCCCACCTTGTGGTACCACTTTAGCTGGTACGCAACAACTTGGTATCTTTTGTCAGTATTTTGTGAACTATGTTGTTTATAGGAGTTGAAATATCTTATGTGAAGTGTCAGTTGTGTTGTTTTAAAACATTCATGGAGGCCGGCCCCATGGCCTAGTGGTTAAGTTCAGTGACCCACCTACAAAAATAGAGGAAGGCTAGCACAGCTTAACAGCTGTGGGTGAATCTTCCTCAAGCAAAAAGAGGAAGATTGGCAGCAGATGTTAGCTCAGGGCGAATCTTCCTCAGCAAAAAATAAACTAAAAATAAATAACATTCATAATTGTTATAACTTAAAATATTTTTGTAAAATATCCTATAACACTGTCATAATATTTATTAAATAGCAGTACTAGGGGTTGTCCAAAAATACCTTTGGTATAGAAGTTAAATGTGATAAATCAATATAAAGTTCAAAAAAAGTGTCACAATAAATGGTAATTTTGGAGGAGAGCACCCTTTGATACACAGAGATGAAACAGAGAACTAAAAACCATTAAAGCTAAAATATGCTATAATGGATGTAGATTTACACCCTCTTAGAATGCATCCTCCCTACTTTACACTCAATCTAATTCATTTTGGATTATGCAGGGTCTTCAGATATGCATCCTTTGCATAAAATGCCTAAGAGTACTGTATTTATAAGCATTTACCATGAGCTAGCACTGTGCTGAGGACTGGGGAACAAAACAAGTAATTTGATTTGTCTGCCTGGAGTTTTAGAACTCTTAATGGAGGATACATTAGGAGCTGAATTAAAACACTCCCCTCCCCCAAGTAATCTAGCCTATGTTTTTTGGGTAGCATTTATTGTGATATAATTCAAATACCATACAGTTCACCCATTTAAAGTATACAGTTCAGTGGGTTTTTAGTATATTCACATGGTTGTGCAACTATTACCATAATCAATTTTAGAACATTTTTATCATCCCAAAAAGAACCCTGTAACCTTCTAGTAGTCACCACCCTTCCCCATTTCCACCCAACTCCTCTAGCCCTAGGTAACCACTGATGTACTTTTCTGTCTCTATACTTGCCTGTTCTGGACATTGCATATAAATAAATCATAATAATATGTGGCTTTTTTGGTGTGGCTTCTTTCATGTAATGTTTTCGAGGTATATTTGCGTTGTAGCATATATCTGTATTTCATTCCTTTTTATGGCCAAGTAATATGCCGTTGTATGGATATACCACATTTTCTTTTTTTTTTTTTTTTTACCACATTTTCTTTATCCATTTATCTGTTGATGGCCATTTGGGTTGTTGCCACTTTTTAGCTATTATGAGTAATACTGCTGTGATAGCCTAAACCATTTGACACAAACATAGTGTGAATTATCTTTTCCTTGTGCTTCAGTACATTAAGAAGTAATGACTTTTCTCATTTGTATTAGTTTTTTTTATTTACATAAGTAAAATTCACTTTTTGTTGTGTGTTTGTGTTTTCTGAGTTCTTACACATGCCTGAATTCTTGTAATCTGTACCACAGAGAGGATATAGAACAATTGCAACACCCCAAAGAATTCCTTCATACTATCCCTTTGTATTCAGATTCTCCCACACTCATAACCTCTGGCAACTGCTGGTCTGTTTTCTGTTTGTATATTTTTGCCTTTTCCAGACTAACATATAAATGGAATCATACAGTATGTAACCTTTGATACTGGCTTTTTTTAACTAAGATAATGCTCTTGAGATGTCCAAGTTGTTGTGTCTAGTAATACATAGTTTGTTCCTTTCTATCACTAAATAGTATTCCATTATGTGGATGTACCACAGTTTGTTCATTAATCCATTGAAGGTTGTTGCTGGTTTGCTCTTTTTGTAGTTTCTTATAGTGGAGCTTAAATTATTGATTTAAGACCATTCTTCATTTCTAATATAAATATTTAATGCTATAAGTTTCTCTCTATGAACTGTTTAGCTCTATCCCACAAATTTTAATACATGGTATTTTCATTTTCATTCAGTTCAAAATATTTATTTTCCTTTAGACATTCTTTTTGATATAAGTATTAGGTAGTAATATGTTGCTTCTAAATATTTGATGATTTTCCAGATACCATTCTGTTACTGATTTCTAATTTAATTCCATTATTGTCTTTGAACATATCTTGAATAATTTCAGTTCTTATAGATTTAATAAGGGCTGTCTTTGTGAATGTTCACTGTGCACTTGAGAAGAATGTATAGTCTGCTGTTTTTGAGTGGAACGTTCTATAAATGTTAATTAGATCAAATTAGTTGATACTGTGTTGTCTAGGTCTAATATATCCTTGCTAATTTTTTGTCTCCTTGTTCTGTTGATTATTGAGAGGAGTGCTGCCAAGCATAATTGTGGATTCGTCTATTTCTCCTATCAATTTTTGCTTTACATACTTTGTTAGGAAGTATTCCCTCTGCTTTTATTGTTTGGAAGACCTTGTAGGAATTGGTATTATTTCTTTCTTAAATGTTGGACAGTTCACCACTGAAACCATCTGGGCCTGGTACTTACTTTTTTGGAAGGATATTAATTGATGATACATTTTCTTTAATAGATATAGGCCTATTCAGATTATCTATTTCTTCTTGTGTGAGTTTTGATAGATTGTGTCTTTCAAGGACTTGGTCCATTTCAACTGTGTTATCAAATCTGTGGACATAACGCTGTTCATGAAGTTATGAAGTTCATTAAAATTTATTACATTTTTAATATTCATGGATCGGTACTGATGGCTCCTGTTTCATTTCTGATATTAGTAATTTGTGTTTTCTTGGTTAACCTGGATGTTTAAAAGTGCGTTGTTTAATCTCCAAATATTTGGGGATTTTACCAGCTCTATTTCTGTTACTGATTTCTAGTTTAATTCCATTGTGGACTTGAGAGTGTACTTTGTGTGGTTTCTGTTCTTTTGAATTTGTTGAGGTGTGTTTTATGGCTCAGAATGTGGTCTTTTTAGGTAAATATTCCATGTGAGCTTGAGAGGAATATGTATTCTGCTGTTGGATGAAGTATTCCATAAAATTTTTTAATTCCGTTATTGAATTTTTCAGTTGTAAACTCCCCCATTTGATTCTTCTTTATACCTTCAATTTTTTTGCTGAGAACTTCTGTCTTTTCATTTGTTTTAAGAGTATTTGTCTTTGCCTCTAGGAGCATTGTTATAATAGCTTCTTTAAAGTCTTTTTCTGGGCCGGCCCCATGGCTTAGCGGTTAAGTGCGTGCGCTCCGCTGCTGGCGGCCCGGGTTCGGATCCCGGGCGCACACCGACACACTGCTTCTCCGGCCATGCTGAGACCTTGTCCCACATACAGCAACTAGAAGGATGTGCAGCTATGACATACAACTATATACTGGGGCTTTGGGGGGAAAATAAATAAATAAATATAATTATTAAAAAAAAAGATCATTTAACACATGGATCATTTCCTGACATCATCCCCCACCCCCTGGCCGGAGAGAGTTGGCTTTTCTGGGACTTCTTCCATCTGTGCCATTGGCAGCTCCAGTGTTTTGGGCTGCTTTAGCATCCTCCTGGTTTATGGACTGGGGGTGGGGGACAGAAAAAAACCCACAGGATTCTCACCACCAGATTATCCCTCAAGTCTTGAGATTCTTAATCTTCCGACTTTCTTCTGCCTTTCAGAGGCTTCTTATAGTTGCTTTATCTATTTCAGTCCAGATCAGTTGTAGGTATTTGGAGAAGGGATGGAGTATGGAATAGGAGAGACAGATAAGGTGAAGAAGTGTGCTTACTCCATTTTGTCCAGAACTCCAAGTCCTCAATTTCTTTGAAAATAGGGTATATGATCGTTTTTGTCAATCAGTATTTAACGGTATGGTTATCTGTCACTTCTTCTTTGCAGAAATCCCAGAATGAGAAACTAAGTAGCACAGCCGACAGTGTGTGTACAGGTGGGACTGAAGTTACTGTACCATTTTTATCTAAGTCTGAAGATCCTGATTTGATTACCAAATCCATTAGTTCACGACCTATATCTTCTGGAACTGTGGACAAACCTGTAGATTTGTCTACTAGAAAGGAAAATGATGCAGATTCTACAAGCCAAGGTAAAATTTGATATATGTTTACAAAAACCTTCTTTCTAGGCATGTATTACAAAAGGTACACCTATATTTTTGAGAAGATAGACTTTTAAATGTAAGCTCCCTTTCTTAAAACAAATTTTGGGGTGTAGGATATTTGTAATAATAAACAGAAAGTCATACTGCCTTGCCAACAAAGATAATAAACATGTATCTTTATTGTTAGAGTGGTAGTTATTAGGGAGTACAGAGCGTTGTGAATCTGACCTATCTACCTGAGAATGAATGACAATAGTATGCTTACATAGAAATTTTCTTTGTGATAGAATTTTCATTTAAATATTGTTTGAATTATATTATCACTGAAGTATATTAAAATTGTTGTAAGTATATATGAAGTAATTGTAGAAATATTACAATAGGAGTGTTAAATTTTTATGAAACTACTTAAATGTCTTTCTTTTTCTCTACTGGCTTCATTAAATTACCTTTTCAGTTACAGTAAACTATATTTGATGTGCTTTCTCCCTTGGTTTTTCATTTCAGTTGATTTTGGGAGATGGGGACATCTTTTAAATTGTATTGCTTTATATGTGTACGTTGTCTCTATTACCTAATTTTTTTCAGAAGTAGTCCTGAATAAGTCACAAATACTACATTTATAGGCACTTCAGAGTCTTAATATGCTAAAAGAGGAAGGTATTTGCCGACCTAAAATCACGTTTTCACATGAGGAAAGTAAGGCATAGGACTTTAAGAGATCATGTAGCTACATGTTGGCAGAATTAAGACAAGACCCCAAAACTCCTGGTGACCAAATATAAATGAGACATTCAGTTTTTATGAGCTTATTATTGATGATAGAGAACACAAAAAATCTTTATGGAGATGTTTCCTAAAATGCTGTCTTTGAATGAATGTGTGTTTTAGATTATAGAAGACTATATAAAGCAGAAACTGTAGCTCTATATATCTGAATTAGTATAGATCTACATCTCATATTTTAAAAATGATTTTTGGCATGCTTTTGGTGTAGTGTTCATTGAGAATAGTACCTGTAAACTTAATAATACTGAAGGAACTCAGAATTGGATGTATTTTGTAACTTTTCTTCAGAGGAATAACCAGAAGATTCACACCCTACTCCCAACCCCCATGGCAGTATAGAAGGTCCTACCTTCTTTCTTTCTGGGTCCTGGGTAAAACTTGGATATTCAGTATATATTAAATGAAGTGTTAAATTGCTCTTTTCTTTTTGCCAGTGGAAAGCAAAACAGTTTCATTTGGATTGGGAAGTAGCACAGGGCTGTCATTTGCAGACTTGGCTTCCAGTAACTCTGGGGATTTTGCCTTTGGTTCCAAAGGTAAGATCAGGAGAAGAGATTTTAATGATCATGTTACAGAATCAAGCACAACGGAAAGAACTAGTCCTTTGCCCCAGTGTTCTAAGTTGGACATTTCTTCCCTCATCCCCACCCTCCAGTTTGTTTAGTGTTTTAAGAAGGAATGGTTTCTGTATTTTACTATTATTTTTGTGTGTGTGTGAGGGCAGATTAGCCCTGAGCTAACATCCCATGCCAATCCTTCTCTTTTTGCTGAGAAAGATTGGCCCAGGGCTAACATGCATGCCCATCTTCCTCTACTTTATATGGGACTCCGCCACAGCATGGCTTGACCAGTGGTGCGTCGGTCCGCGCCCGGATCCCAACCTGTGAACCCCGGGCCGCTGAAGCAGAATGCATGAACTTAACCGCTATGCCACGGGCCGCCCCCTATTTTACTATTATTTTTGACATTTATTAATATAACCATAAGAATTTTTTCATAATTCATTATAAGTCATGCTGATAGTCCTCCTCATCCTGAAATGCAAACCGTCTTTCCAGTTTTGGAATAACCTTGACTTTGGTATATTGTTCTTTTAATTATATTTTTCGATTTGATTTGTCTGTATTTCAAGATTTGTGCATCTGTATTTTTTTTAAGGAGATGATTTTGTAGTTTTCTATTTTTGCAGTATCCTTGATTGGATTTTAATATAAGGGTTGTGCTAAATTATTGTGCTAAATTTATAATTGGTGAGTTTTCCCATCTTTTCCAATGGTTTTTTTTCTATTTTTAGTCCATTTTGGTATCATTTGTAGAAAATAATCCATTTCCTTGATTGTTTCAAGTTTACTGGCATATTTTCTCATTCTTATAATGTCTTTCATATATCTGATTATAGCACCACCTAAATGGTTCTTGTACAAGATATTTGATTTTTGGAATAAATTTTATTGAAGATAAATAATATACTTTACATGATTAATCTAATTCAGAGTAGTGTTCTTCCCTCTCACATATTTACACTTGTTTCACAGCTCCTGCCATTTATGGAAACACATATAAAACTTTTAGAAATTATCTTATGTTGGAATTCATAGCTTCACTGATATCACGTTGCTTTATTTTTGTTTTAAGTAGCTTGAAGTCACAGGATAATAAGTCAGCAAACACAGCATTATGGTGGGTACAGTTATCTACAAAAAAAAAGCCAGATAAAAATTGATGTGTTAGGTTGCTTGTTATTCAGTAATCTTTTCACAGTATTCTATCAATATTGTACAGTAAACTGTGAAATAGGCAAGACTCAAAATCTCATGAGGGAGGCTTGCGTTAAGCCGATATTCACTCCCCACTACCTCTTATCATTTTTCAGTGTCATTATTCACCAAGCTCTTGTTTAAACTACATTTCTTTGTTTTGTTCTTAGATCTGACAGGAATTTGTGATTTGTCTTTTTCAAAGTAGCTTTTGGTTTTATCAATTCTCCTCTTGTTTGTGTTTTTATTCTATCTTCAGATTTTGTCATTCCTTTTCTTTAAATTATTGTTAGTTTTCTTGTGTTGAATACTTCCTTTATTTAATTTGGATTATGCTAATAAGCACAGAATAGTATTTGCAACTGTAAATCCCCTGGAATCCCATCAGTTTTTATAGGGAATCCTCACACTTTTGTAAATTTCTTGATAATTTAGAATTTCAGTTTTGCCTTCATCTTTGGTTAAGAGCTTGTAGGACTTAGGACTTAGTTTTTTCTTTTTTCTGAGAGGTCATACATTTCACCAGCATGTGGGTATTTTTTTTCTTTTAAACTTGTTCCTGTTACTGTGTGGACCTTTTTGTCTCAAACTTTTTGTTTTGCTTGGTTTTAAAGAGTCTTTTTTTTTTCTCTTATGCATTATTTCTGTGGTGATTACTTTTTCTTCATCTGTTCATTTTATTGTTGTTGTTCATTTCCTTTGTTTCATTTTTTTTCTTTTGTTCCTTTTCTTTTTCTACTCATTTTCTTCTGCAAGTCCTATTCACACAGGTCTATTAATCATTCCATGTCTATTGTGTAATATTTCATGTGAAGACTAAGAGAATATAAGGAACACCTTACTGCCCACCTTTGTCAGTGATTGCCAATTTATCCTATTTCCTTCAGATTTTGTAATGTTTTCATTAAACCTGGACACACAGTGATAGCCTCCTAGGTACTATTATCTAGAACTGTTATTGTGAAATTGATATTGATTATTGACATGCATATCTTTATACTTTTACTCTGTAAATTCTTCCTCCTGGTCCCTTTAGAGCAGTGGTTTTTAATGATTGGCTTCATATTAGAATTTCCTGGGAACTTTAAAAAAAAAATCACCTGACAGTTATATTGGCTCTCTGGGCATGGTACGCCTGGGCATTGGTCATTTACAAAAAACTCTTAGTGTGAGTGTAATCTGCACCCAGCTTTAACTATTGCTTTAGAGGAATTTTGAAATTTTCTGCCACATCCCCAAGGGTATTGGGATAGTTGTTAAAATTTTTCTGGTTGGGAGTTCCTGAACCAGTTACTTTTGAGCCCCAAACCAGTGTATCATCTAGATCTGTGGTTACTATTCTCAGGAATCCCTACACTACCTGAGGTTGGGCTTTTCTTGTTTTCAGAGCATTCTTTTCCAGTATCTTCTTAAGAATTTTTTTCTTTTAGCTTTTTTATGTTTTTTTCTCCCTATTAAATCTGGCTTAGAAGGAGTTACTATATTAGTTATTCATTTTGTTCTTTCTTCAAGGTGCTGAATTACTTTTTATTTATTTATTTATTTTTGTGAGCAGATCAGCCCTGTGCTAACATCTGCCAATCTTCTTCTTTTTTTTGCTGAGGAAGACTGGCCCTGGGCTAACATCCATGCCCATCTTCCTCCACTTTATATGGGACACCGCCACAGCATGGCTTGCCAAGCAGTGCGTCAGTGTGCGCCCGGGATCCGAACTGGCGAACCCTGGGCCGCCACAGCGGAGTGCGCGCACTTAACCACTTGTGCCACTGGGCCGGCCCCGAGTTACTTTTTAAATGATCTGTGACATTTTTGTCTTATTTTTTAGCACCAGATGTCAGGGTTCTCTAAGGCATTGATTTATTCGCAAGCCATGAAAAGTTGAGGTGTTTCTTTCCTTTGAGATAGTGGGGAATGTATTAGCAGGCTGGGTCATCTCAGTTGAGATGAGAATGAAGAAGCTTTTAGTTTTCACCTTCTCCAATGTATGAGGGAGAGGAATAGCCTTAGTTCCTTTGCATCGGATTGGAGAGCTTTTTCACCCCTAACAGTCTGGTATCCTTTGAGTTGGAGTCAGCAAGCTTCTTCTTAGATTACCATCTACCACCTGGCCAAGAAATCTAAGCTCCAACACGAGTTATGAGGTAGAGAAGATATAAACGTGTTTAGGCTACTTTGGCTAATTTGGAAATAGCAGATTTGGCCTCTTTGAGGACATATTTAGCTTCAAAAGTTATGTTTATCACCTGATAAAATATTTTATGCAATAAACTACCTTTGGAGCTGAGCTCAGTTTTCAAAGTTCCAAGGTATGTGCTTTTAAGAACTTGCTTCATTACTGAAAGTTCTTGTGTAGTTTAGTATCATGAAGTTTACCTAAAGCTCAGATGATCTTATCATCATATTTGCAAACATAGTACTAAGTGTACTGTGTGCTCTTTGGATGAGTTGAACTTGCCAGAATAATGTAATTTTAAACATTTTTACTAGATGTATATGTCACATCATTGGAAATTAGATGCACTGATAAGTAATCTAACGGGATTAAGAGTTTATAAAAATAGATACCACTATTTAAATATCCTAATTTATTCACCAGATGAAAATTTCCAGTGGGCAAATACTGGAGCAGCTGTGTTTGGAACACAGTCAACCAGTAAAGTTGGTGAAGACGAAGATGGTACAGATGAAGAAGTAGTTCATAATGAAGATATCCATTTTGAACCAATAGTGTCATTACCAGAGGTAAATATTAAAGAATGACAATCTTACTAAAAACTTACTTTACATTTTAAGTTTAAAATTTGACATAGGCTGGATTTTTGAGCTAGCTTTGTTTGCATTTATTTCAGAATATTTACAATTTTAAATGGAAGCTCTTTGTTTATTAGAAGTTCTGCCGTTAAGTATAAATTATCTTTGTTAAAATTTGTATGTAAATATATGGTAAATTTTATATGAAATTGTTGGGAAGAACTAAATTTTTTCTTATGTTGTTGGAATATCATGTTTGTTTTCATAACAAATCGGGGGGCAAAAAAAATCTTATCTCAAATTTGCCAGTCTTTTCAATAAAAAGTAAATCTACATTTTCTGGACAAGAATGTTGGCTTAGGCAAATTACTTTGTCAATTTTCTTTTTTTTTTTAGATTTTATTTATTTATTTTTTCCCCCCAAAGCCCCAGTAGATAGTTGTATGTCATAGCTGCACATCCTTCTAGTTGCTGTATGTGGGACTCGGCCTCAGGATGGACGGAGAAGTGGTGCCTCGGTGCACACCCGGGATCCGAACCCAGGCCACCAGCATCGGAGCGCGTGCACTTAACCACCAAGCCACGGGGCTGGCCCTACTTTGTCAATTTTCAATCTCAATCAGTAGTTAAATTTCTCTTGAAAAACAAGCACTTTTTGAAACTGCTTCTGTCCTATAAAAGAATGTATTTAATTTCCAAAAGGAGGAAGAAGACTACATAAGAGAAGAACATTTAGGGGCTGGCCCCGTGCCTTGGTGGTTGAGTGCGCGCGCTCTGCTGCTGGTGGCCGGCGTTCGGGTCCCGAGCGTGCACCGACCCACCGCTTGTCCAGCCATGCTGAGGCGGCGTCCCACATACAGCAACTAGAAGGAAGTGCAGCTGTGACATACAACTATCTACTGGGGCTTTGGGGAGAAAAAGGGGAAAAAGAGGAGGATTGGCAATAGATGTTAGCTCAGGGCTGGCCTTCCTCAGCAAAACAGGAGGATTGGCCTGGATGTTAGCTCAGGGCTGATCTTCCTCACAAAAAGAAAAAAAAAGAAAGAAAAACATTTAATGACAAATCAGGTCATCAGTGCCTCATCCAAGTCAGATGTATTCTTAGCCCTAGGAGATTACCATCTGTCTTGATACTACAGTTCAAATTGTTATTGTCATTATGCAGACAATATCTTAAGGAATTTGGATCTTTGGAATTTTTTGTGGAATATGTTATAAGCAGCAGCTTATAGATAATTTCATCTATTATCATAGGTGGAAGTAAAATCTGGAGAAGAAGATGAAGAAATTTTATTTAAAGAGAGAGCCAAACTTTATAGATGGGATCGAGATGTCAGTCAGTGGAAGGAGCGTGGTGTTGGAGATATAAAGATTCTTTGGCATACGATGAAGAATTACTATCGGATCCTGATGAGAAGAGACCAAGTCTTTAAAGTGTGTGCAAACCATGTCATTACCAAAACAATGGAATTAAAACCCTTAAATGTTTCGAACAATGCTTTAGTTTGGACTGCTTCAGATTATGCTGGTGAGTTTTACATTCAAATGCTACTTTTCATTTTTTGGACTTTTCTAAAATCCCGTTAACAAATATATAAAAAAAATGTATAAGTTATTTTAATACTCATGTCACTGTGTTGTTTTGTTGTTGTTTAACAGATGGAGAAGCCAAAGTGGAACAGCTTGCAGTAAGATTTAAAACTAAAGAAATGGCTGATTGTTTTAAGAAAAAATTTGAAGACTGTCAACAGAATTTATCGAAGCTCCAAAAAGGGCAGGTATCACTGACAGCCGAGTTATCAAAGGAGACAAATCCTGTGGTGTTTTTTGATGTTTGCGCAGATGATGAACCCCTTGGACGTATAACCATGGAATTATTTTCACACATTGTTCCTCAAACTGCTGAGAACTTCAGAGCACTGTGCACTGGAGAGAAGGGCTTTGGTTTCAAGAACTCCATTTTTCACAGAGTGATTCCAGATTTTGTTTGCCAAGTAAGTATTAACTGTATATCACAATTGAAGTTTACAAAAGTACACCACACTAACTCGGGAAATTTGAGTGAGTGTTTCTCCTCACCTGTAATTTTCTTAATATTTCTTTAGCTTTTCCACACATCAGTTGGTGTCACCACCCCAACTTCCTATCCCCACAAAATCTTTCAACCTAAAATGGTTCAAATTTCTAATACCTTGAAACCTGCTAGAAATTGAGGGTGGGAAAAAGACCTTTTCATTTTTGTCTTCTTTCACAAATGGATTATTTCTTATTTTCCAAACCACATTCTCAAGGAAAGTGGGTGTTTAGGACTTATCCTATAGTAGTTAGTTCTGTGTGTATTTTAATATTTTATTCAGGATTCCTATTAATTGAAATCTCTTTTCAGGGAGGAGATATCACCAAACATGATGGAACAGGAGGACAGTCCATTTATGGAGATAAATTTGAAGATGAAAATTTTGTTGTGAAACATACTGGTCCTGGCTTACTATCGATGGCCAATCGAGGCCGGGATACCAATAATTCTCAATTTTTTATAATACTGAAAAAAGCAGAACATTTGGACTTTAAGCATGTAGTATTTGGGTTTGTTAAGGATGGCATGGATACTGTGAAAAAGATTGAATCATTTGGTTCACCAAAAGGGTCTGTTAGTCGAAGAATTAGTATCACAGAATGTGGACAGATATAAAATCATTGTTTTTCATAGTACCTGTATAAACAGCTGAATTGAAGCTTAGCCGTTATGACAATATGGTAATTATGTTCAGCTTTTGAAAATGAACGTTTCCAATGTATAAATGTAAAATTGCAGCTTATAGCTGTTGTCACTTTTTAATGTGTTATAATTGACCTTGCATGGTGTGAAATAAAAGATAAAACACTGGTATATTTCAGGTGTACTTGTGTTTATGTACTCCTGACATATTTGTATTAAAATGGAATAATACTAATCTTGTTAAAAGCAATAGACCTTCTCAAACTATTGAAGGAATATGATATATGCAATTTAATTTTAATTCCTTTTAAGATATTGGACCTCCTGCATGGATATACTTACTATTTGAATAAAGGGACCACAACTTGGATAATTTTTATTTTAGATTTGAAATATATTTGGTAATTTTAACTATTGGTGTGCTCATTTATGCATAGAGATTCACTTATGAATGGGTAGAGCCACAGAGGGTAGAGACTTAACCAAAGTGCTCTTCTATAATCCTTGCACCTCCTGTTTAGTTAAATTAACTTTTAAAGTAGGGTACCTTCTTTTCTTAAAATGATATGTAGCTTCCTGTGCCCTTTCAAAGGTCTTAAATTAATTTTTACATTTTAAATAAGTTGAGTATTTCCTTAAATTTTTTTTTTTTTTTTTTTTTTTTACTTTTCTGTTATCTGTTTCTACTACCTCAGACTGCAGCTTGGTTCTGTTATAGAACTTGAACTTTTCCTTGCAGTTATTGTGATAAAGTATGAATATTTTAAAAAGGTCTATACCATGTTCTTTGGTTAAAGATTTGCTTTATACTAGATTGTTGCAATACTAGATTGTTGCAGTACCTTTTTCTGGTGAATTTTGTAGCAAAAATAAAGTGATAATTGTTAACAGCCATGACATTTAAAAAATTCATTACTTGTGCATCTAGTTGTTTGTTCATTCTAGAACCAAAGTAAGGAGAACAATTAAAAGTCTGTAAACTCACACTGCTGCATAATTTCCAGAGTTCCAAAGGAAGTGACTCTTTTCAAGTTTGATACACTTAAAATTTATTTGGAAATGGCTAGTGTCAAAAGTTAGAAAAACTGCCAAAAAAAGAGGGATGTTCTCATCACCCTACTCAATATAGAACTAGAAAGAATCTACTTGGAGCACAAAATTTTGTATATTCCAATCACTAACAGTGACTGCCTGCTGCCCTCCTGTGTTCTTCCTGGTGAAATCACCTCATTTTGGTTAATGCAAGACAGTGGGGTTTATTCCATTGTTTGGGGATTTTGGGAACAGTCTATCCTATAATAAATATGTGTTCAACTGCCAGTCAATGGAGGGGAGGGATGTCATATGTGGTTTGTGTGAGTAATGAGTGATGGAATACCATCACTAAGTCCATTTGACCACAAAGCCAGGTAACTGAATTAAACCTACCCCAGTGTATCAGTTTGAACCACATGAACCTTAAAGGAGAACCATGGACTATATATAATTTTTTAATTTATTTTTTCCCCCCAAAGCCCCAGCAGATAGCTGTATGTCATAGCTGCACATCCTTCTAGTTGCTGTATGTGGGACGCGGCCCCAGCATGGCCGGAGAAGCGGTGTGTCGGTGCGCGCCCGGGATCCGAACCCCGGCCGCCAGCAGCGGAGCGCGCGCACTTAACCGCTAAGCCACGGGGCCGGCCCAGAACCATGGACTATATACATGCACATTTAATATTAAGAACTGGCTTCTTTGGAAACTTAAGTTGCTGTAAAGTGTGCTGTAATTTTTCAACTGGGACAGCTGATGTCTTTGGCATGATTTTAGAATAAATTCTAAGTAAATGCACTTTTAGAGATTTTTTAGAGAACAGTTTTATACTGATTTCTTTTTTTGTGTGAGGAAGATTAGCCCGGAGCTAACATCCGATGCCAATCCTTCTCTTTTTGCTAAGGAAGATTGGCCCTGGGCTAACATCTGTGCCCATCTTTTTCTACTTTATATGGGACACCACCACAGCATGGCTTGACAAGTGGTGCACAGGTCTGCAGCGGGGATCTGAACCTGCGAACCCTGGGCCACCAAAGCGGAGCACGGGAACTTAACCGCTATGCCACCTGCCTGCCCTCCTATACTGATTTCTATGCTGTCCTAAACCATTCAAGTTATGTATTAAAAAGCTTTAAAAACTAGTACTTTTACCAAAAATTTGATAAAATGACATGTAAACCAACTTTTCCAGTATTAGTATTCCAAAGATGCTTAAAGGTGGCCTGAGGCATTTATAAGACTGTGTGTCACATTTCAGGAAAGGACTTTGTGATTTCTCTTTGTTATTTAATCACTGATGTGGTATAAACCCACAATATGTACCTTTTAACTGGCTGGATTTTTTGTCTCATTAAAATCTGCTTAAAGATTATGAAATCTATTATTTGTACGCTTTAAGTAATACTTTATGGCAAAAAGTATTGGTTTAAATTTTCAGATAATGACTTTATTAAAATATTGATCTTATAAAATTTTGGCATTTGAGAAACTTTCAAGATAATCCAGAGAATCTAGGAGTTGTTAATCCAGACATGCTGTTGGACAATCACAATTTAGAAAACTAAAGGATTACACTGGTCTTATTGTATAAAGGAAAGAAATTAAGTGGATATTCAGTTATTCCCCTCCATCAGTCTCGGTTTAATACAGGGTTTCGGTTGACATAGCGTGCCAGTGAACTATGGAGCACCTACTGGATGCCAGGCACAGTTCTCGACCAGGGGGAAGCCGATGGAAGAACGAAGCTCATGCTCCCAGGCAGCTGACGTCCTACTACTGCGGTTAGGCCATGTGTGGAACACAGGCCGCGGGCAGGGGAAGGGAGGAGGCAGTGCCTTTTGAAACTCGTAGCCTTTGCAGTACGAAATAGTCTTGATTTTTTCCCGCCTTTTGGATTACAGTGAGCATAGGCACACTCACTACAGGCGTGAGACACGCTCTAGGGGAGGGCTGGTCCTCCCAGGCAGGTGTGGACCCTCCTTACCTCGTGCGCCCTCCCACATGCACGCGGGCCGCGCAGGTCACCCGACAGAGGGCGGGACTCGCTCCGTGCCGCCGGGCGCGCCCCTGGGAGCGCAGGGCCACACCTGCCAGCGTGCGACCTGCTGGGGACCACCGTGCTTCTCGGGGCCCCAGACAAGGCGGAGGAAAACTCAAGTAGCAGAAATTTTCTTAAGACACTCGGAAAAGAACATAAAGCACCATTTATCAGTCCAAAGAACACACCAGTAAAGGAATCAGTCGTTAAATCATCCGGCAGGCGGAAGAGCCATCACGCGAGTCCGCCTTGAACGTAGACAGAGACAGAGACGGGCTCCCCGGAGGCCCGCCTCCCCTGCCGCCCCGTCAGCCGCCGAGCCCACGGGCGAGCTCGGCCCCCGACGCGGGGGCGGGGCCGCCTGGCGTCACCACGCACTTCCGCCGCGCAGCTCCGCCCCTGCGCTCCTCGCCCGGCCCCAGAGGCTGTTCCCCGGGAGACGACAGCGGCCGCGGCGCGCCATGGAACCGAGGGTCGTCAAGCCTCCGGGGCAGGATTTCGTAGTGGAGCGTCTGAAGAGCCGCTACGGGCTGGGGGGCAGCTGCGCCGCCGAGGTGAGGCTTCGCGCTTCCTGCGCGGCCCCGTCCCCGGGCCGGGCTGGCTGCTGCTCGTCTGGAGTCGCCCGCCCTCGGACGCTCACGGGAAAACGGGTGCCGCGCAGGTGGCCGGAGGGGAAATAATTTACGGCCGCGCATGCGCCAGTGCTGCGGTGCTAGAAGTCAGCGCACACGGGGAAAACGTTTTCTGTGAGGAAAAAACCCGTCACCTGGGTTTGTGAAGGTTTGTTATATGAAGCGTGGGATGGCATTGTTGAGAGTGTTTGTGAACTTTTACCTACGTGACTTGAGTGGAGTTCAAAAATCAATTTGATTCCTTTAAAAAGTTTCTTATGTAGAAATAATTTCAAACTTACAATAGTTGCAAGAATCATACAAAGAACTCCTTTGTACCCTTCGCTTGGATTCACCAATTGTTAACGTTTTGCCACATTCGCTTTACCATTTTCTCTCTCTTCCTCTTTTTGACTCCCTCTCCCCTCTCCATACACACATTTTTTTCCCCCTCGAGCTGTTTGAGGGTAATTTGCAGGCGCCTGTGACTTTTTACCTCTGAATATAAACACTTCCTTGTGTTGTTCTAGGAGTAAGGATATTTGCTTATATAACCACAGTAATAAATGCAGAAAACTTACTATCGATAGAATAATATTATGGAATGTATAGTCCTTATTCACGTTTCACCAATTATCTCAATAATGTCCTCTGTAAAAAAATTTTTTTCCTGCTGCAGATCCCTAAAATTGAGCATTGCGTTTGCTTGTCTCTTTTGCCTTTAATCTGGAACAGGTTCCCAAGCCTTACTTTTTGTAATATTGATATTTTTGAAGAATATAGGGGAATTATTTATTAGAATGTCCCTCAGTTTGTGTTTGTCTGATGGACACCTCATGATTAGATGCTGGTTATGCATTTTTGGCAGGAATACTACATGAGTACTGCATGAACACTACATAAATGGAATACTGCGTGACTACTGCATGACGAAAGTGCCAAAGCAGGACTGCATTTGGACATTATGAAGACAAAATCATGACTACAGAAGAACTACACTACTTAATGTAGGCACTGAAGACACTGAAATTGTTAAAGATTTTGGTTCAGTCAACAATTTAAATGGAGACCACAGCCAAGAAACCAAGAGAAGACTGAGACTCGGAAGGGCAGCAATGAAGGAATTAGGAAAGATCATCGAGTGTAAGGAAGTGTCGTTAGAGACCAAGGCCAGGATTATCCACACCCCCGTATTCCCAGTCACTGTGTCCGGGTGCAGAAGTGAGGCAGGGAAGAAGGCTGACAGGAAAAAAATGGATTCATTTGAAACATGGTGTTGGAGGAGAGCTCTACAGATACCCGGGACTGCCAGAAAGACGACACGTGGCTCCTAGAGAAAATTAAGCCTGAACCATCACTGGAGGCAAAGATGATAACACTGAGGCTGTCCTACTTTGGGCGCATCATGAGAAGGCAGGATTCTCTGGAAAGACAATAATGCTGGGAAAAGTAGAAGGCAGCAGGAGAAGAGGAGGACCAAATAGGAGATGGGTTGACTCCGTAAAGGAAGCCACAGGCCTGCGTCTACAGGAGCTGAGTAGGGCCGTTGAGGATAGGACACTGTGGACAGCACTCATTTGTAGGGTCGCCAGGAGTAGGAACCAACTTGACAGCGCTTAATACACACTGTATGAGTGATGTTTGGCTTGCTCTGTTCATCAGTAGACGTAACGATGTTGCTTTGATTCATTAGTGGTGATGTGAACCTTGATTACTTGATTAAGGTGGTGTCTACCAGATTTCTCCACTCTACCCTTTGTAATTTACCTTTGTAATTAATACATAATTTGTGGGGAACTATTTTGAGTCTGTAAGTTTATTCTTAATATACAAATTAAATATGTTATCATATTTGTTTTTTTTTTAGTATGACTTTTCAGATTTTGATCAGGCTAAATGTAAGAGAAGATCTCTAACCTCCCCAGGTAAGCCAATAGAGTATTTTGTATATTTGAGGTTTTTAACATATTTAATTTGAGAGGAAGGATTTTTAAAAAATGTTTAGACTATGGCTAGTGCCAGATATCTTATGATACTAAGCTTTTTTTCAGTCTGGTAATGAACTAATAATAATCATGATTTTGGGGGTAAGTCTGTAAGATGTCTTTAAAAATCAAATTGAATTTTTTTGGTGTTTCAGTTACAGTATTTCTGTCTTTAAAGATGTTAAAAATTAAACAGTATATTGGATAAAGGAGACTAATTGCTTTTTTTTTTTAGGCACGAGCTTTTC